CCCAACTTCACTCCCACTCCCTCCCTTCCTCCGCCGTTAAAAAGGGGCACGACTAATGCATGCTCTCTCTCTCTCTCTCTTTCTTTCTTCTTTCTTATTTCTTTTTTTCTCCCCATCATCATTTTTCTTTCTTTCTCTCTTCCTGATTCCACAAACGAACAACAAAGCAGCACCTCTACTCCCACTCTCACTCCCACCACTCCCACAGCAACAGCAACAACAACAGCACCACTCTCCTTTCTCTCCTTCCCGCCAACCAGCTTCGAGACTCTTGTCTCTGTACCTGATGTGCATTGCCCCGTGCATCCAAGTAGCCCATCACGTCCAACAACACAGACTTTCAGTCACCTCCTTTTCTTTTGTCTTCCTTTTTCTTTTGGCTGTTTGTCCTGCCTTCTTCTTCTTTTGCCTTCCTTCCCTTTTCTCTCCCCCCTCCCAAAAACACCCTCAACCCTACCTCCGCCCCTCCAACAAACAAACAGCCGGCAAGATGCAGCACATCACCATGACTGCGATCGCGCACCCACCCTCCAAAGTCGGGCCATCGACCTATCAACACAACATCATCAAAGCACACTCTTCTACACTTGCACTTCCACTTCCACCTCCACCACCACCACCACACACACCAGCTCGCATTGTTCAGTGCGGCATCTGTCTCGACGATTTTGAATGGTTCTCGCTCAAGGACCTCAACGGCTACCAGGAGGACCCTAAAGACACCAACGCTAACGCCACCGCCGCTACCACAAGATCAACTGTAACAACAACCACTACATCAACGATGTCAAACAGCACAGCATCCTCAAACTTGTCCTCGTCTCGGATCTGCAACCGACGTTTTCATCTCTTTTGCAGCCATACTCGCAACAGTCAAGTCACCCCCACCCCTACCCCCACACGCGCTCACCAAGGTCGAACTCGTTGGACAGGTGGCCTTTTTGGGGGTAACAAACGGTCCCGTCGAGAACAGAAACTCAAACAAGTCGTAGCCTCAAGTCCCTCGGTCGAGGCGTTGAAACTCGGATGCTCATTGCATACGGGAAAAGACCATGCGTTCTGCCTGGAGTGCTTGGCGAGGTATATTGATACACAAGTCAAGGCACAGGCTTGGCCGATCAATTGTCCACACGAAAACTGCCGTGAAGCTGTTTGTTCGTTTGCCGTCGAGACTCTTCTCGGGAGTGATGCCCTCCAGTGGCACCAGCTCGCTGTCGAGCACGCTATTCAGAAGAAGGTAAAGCGAAAAGACAACAAACGAGAAAACGAACGTGTTTGTTGCTGGTTTTTTCTTTTTTTTTTGGTGGGAGATTGTGCGATGCCTTCTTCATTATTATTATTGTTGAGGACATGGACCATCTGTTTGTGTTCCCGCTTTTGCTCTTGTAAACAGTGCGTTGGTCACCCAACCAACCAACCAAAACCCTTTTTTTATAATTTGCTTTGGTTTTGTGTTGTGGTGTTTTGTACTCACATTCAATCGTCAACTGGTGTTGTCTTCTCTTCTCTTTTCTGGATGTTAGATCTACTGCCCATACACAGCGTGTGCTCGGTTGATTGACGGCGACCGCAACGATGACCAGGAGCCGGTTGACCGCCACTGCCCCTACTGCAGCAAGCCCTTTTGCTCCATGTGCTATGGTGAGGCACATAAAGGTATGATCTTGTCGGCTCTCCCTTTTCGTTCCCGTTGCTAATTAAAACAAGGCGCCATAAGGCCAAGCACGGCCGGGCACAGCCAGGCACGACATGAATGACCAAATGAGCTTTTTAATCCTATTGTCATTCGCCCTACCGATGACTGACCGATTGACCATCCCTTTGAATTATTATTTTTCTAACGCATTGGATACATGGATGAAATAGGTATCAACTGTCAACAGCGTCTGGACAAGATCTTTAATACCCTGGCAACCGAAAGTAATTGGAAGAGTTGCCCTTCGTGTCGCCACATGATTCAAAAGGAATCAGGTACCGTCCCTTGCTTTTCCTTTTTTTTTCGTTGCACATGTTGGTGATCGTGTTATCGCCTCAGCCCTTGTAAATCGATGATATTCCCACCGTGTCATCGCCCAACACGTTTTATTAATATGCTCTGTTGTTATTGTTCCTGTGATTAGGCTGTGACCATATGACATGTCGCTGTGGGACTCAGTTCTGCTACATTTGCGGAGGCAATGGATGGCCTTGTCGAAACCGACATTAACGTTCAAGGACGACGACGAACGCTACCAATGTTGGAGACTATCTTTACAGGAATGATTGGAGAGTGCCATTGGGAAGAGCAGAAACAGTGTGAGAACAACCAAACAATATCTAAACAACTACACAACATGAACACCAACGTCAACGACAACAAAAAAATGAAATGGCAGGAGATACATGCCTCTGCGGGGAGGATGCCTTCGTCCAAACAACCTTGTGAATATGAATGACTATTGATGAGTAAACGACCTTACCAACAACCCAAAACGAGAACCAGGCGGAGGGTGGGGCCCCTCTGCCTTTTTGTACATACACACACATCGCTTTTCCTCGAGCATTGAATGAGCTTATTTCCTCACGTGCAAAGGTCAGCCGAGGATCTCTTCAAATAAAAAATATAAAATGCCTTGTTTCTTTTGGACCTTTGGTTGTCTTGGCAGTCGTTCCTTCCTCGCATTCGTCCCTCTCCCTTTTCTCTTTCTCTCTCTGTCTGTCTCTCACCAGCACATCAACATACAGGAACAAAGCAGGAACTACCAAAAGATCTAATTCAACAACCATGAGCAACTTTCCCGACTACTATGGTAATAAAACAATAACCCTTCATTCATTCATGTGCTCTTTCATTCATTCATGGGCCCTCCTCTTGTCTCAGTGAGCGTGTGGTCAGGGCATCTCTCTTCTCATTTCAAACTCACTCACTCACTCGCAATATGCAAACATTCATCGCTTTTCATTAACGAAACTAGCACTGTTAAAGGTACAGGAGACAGCAACGGCAGAAGAGATTCGCGAGGCGTACAAGCGGGAGGCGTTAAGGACACACCCAGACAGGACCACCAACCTCGGAGGCCCCAATGGTGAACGACCCCTGTCCAAAGACGAAGCCACTGTCCTCTTCCAGCAGGTCGCAGGTAAACAAAAACGATGGCCCGACGCGACTCGGACTCTTTGTTTCTTTCTGCTTCTAATGGCCTCTAACGAACAGCATTGCTGTATTCATTTCTTACCAATTACCCTTTTTTCCCTTGCCTCGTTGATATCAGATGCATACTACGTACTGTCTAATACGCAGAGACGCAAGGAATACGATATTGCTCGGCGATCATCACGGAACAGGGAATCATGGTCCACCTCGGCTTCAGCCCAACAGCATACCGAGCCCGAGGAGGTCTTTGGAGGTGTCTTTGAGGAATTGCTTCGCCCCGAGGTTCAGAACCCAAGTTCGTTTTATTCCCCCATTGGAATGGCCTCTGGAGCGGCCCTTGGCTTCATTTGCGGTGGCGTTCCTGGTGCTGTCTTGGTACGTGTTTTTTTGGAGGTGTTTTTTTTTGTGGACGACAAGAAGGACAGGAGACTTGTCATGATTGCCTCTTTTTTCTTTCTTAGTGTTTTGCATATCATGCATGTTGACTTTTGCCTTTGTGTGTCACTTGGTTCAAGTGCTTTTTGCTGCTACATGATCTGACTCTCTCCCTCTCTCTCGTTCCTCCAAGAGTCTTGTGGACATTTTTTTCTTCGTGCCCACCATTGAAAACTGAACATTCAAATTGACACTCTACTCTCTTTTTTTTCCACATTAGGGAGGATATGGTGGAAAGACATTGGGCCGCATCAGGGATCAAAAGGGCGTCAGCGTGATTGAGGCGTTTGGGCGACTGGAACACGCACACAAGGCTGCCATCATTGCCAGCCTAGCCGCCAAGATCTTTCAAAGTCTGCAGTAACAAGGACAAGCTGTCTCCTGGTTGAATCGCGTTTTCTTGTCAAGCTTGCTCATCCTTGTTATTTCTTTGAATAATAATTAAACATGGACTCTCTACTTTCTTTATATCCTGAGGTGGTAAAAGATATGAATGACCTCCTATCTAAATTCCTTGCCTAAATAAGTCCTGACAAAATTATGTTTGTTACCCCCCTTCTCCCTGCGTTTAGCTCGGAGATAACAAAAACATTTTGCTCCGCCTTTTTTGCTTCCAAAAAGCCCAGAACTTGACCGTTGTGATTTTTTTTTTTTTTCCTTTTCAGC